CACTCATGTCTATCTTTTGATGGAACAACTCATTTTAATTCAAGTCCCTAGAACTTGTTCTTTCTTATATATTCAACATTTTTCTTTCTCTTTATTTAAAAAAAAATTGAGTTATTAGTTTTCTGTGTATGGATTATTTCTTCTAGTTATATGTTTACATTTGTAGTTATATCCTAAACCAAGATTTTTTTTCTAGCTTTTACTCTGTTCATTTTCTTCAAATGAACCGATTCCTTGTTAGTAAGTGTTTTGTGTAACTTATGTGGGCCAACTTATAATATTTTCTCTTTTGGAATAGCTATAGTTTAACTACCATCATAAATTTTATGACATTATGGATTGAAAGTCATAATTTCCATTCTGATTTAATTTATTTTTAAAACTTAATTTAGCTTGTAGATCTGCCTACAGTGCTTACTATCAGTTCTATGGTCAAGCATTTATGATATCTTTAATGGTGGTTTACATCTCCTTTTAATTAAAATAACTTATTGTATACCTGCATAGAAAAAAAAACAAAAAGATTTAAAGTTTGTCTCATGTTATTTCTTGTTTAAACAAAACATTCCTTTGCTTATAAAAGTCTGTGATTATAAAAATTATAATGCTTAAAGAGTGATTAGGACTTAATAACAATTCACATTTTTATTTATAACTTCTTAATAAATCGATAGGGGCCTGTATCACTATACCACTAATCGAGTGGATAGCGCGCTATACTAGTAAAGCAAAGATCATAGGATCAAATCCCGGCCCTACTTCCCAATACGGCTGGTCACCGCGGGAAGTTAGACCATTACCCTCTTAATTAGGGGAGGCCTACAGGTACAATACTTGTAAGAACTGGCTATAAAAAAAAATATACACCAATTGATTCCAAAGATTAAGCACATGTTTGAAAATTTAAACTTGTAAATAACATAAATTTATAAAATTTATTTTGATATCAATATTTTTTCATTAAAATCCCCCCCCCCAAAAAAACAAGGTTGTGGTAAAAATAAATAAACGCATAAAAATTCGCAGTTCTACTGGATCTGGAAATTGTCCAATTATTTATTTTAAAAACTTATTTATGGTTGAAATTTATAAAACATATCAGGCACATGCATTGTACATGTGAATCAAGAGAAACATGTAACACAATTATTTTGAAACTTGGAAGGAGTAAGTAGATATGGTTCGTCAAATTGTTAGAAAAAAAACTTTTTCTTTTTTTTTCCTCAAAACATTACTATTTTAAAGACATTTTTGATATTAATATTTTTTTACATCAATGTTTCAGCCCTTAGGCCATTATCAAGGGAAGTAACCTATTTTAATAATTAAAAATCTTTATGGACTGAATTGCCCTTGTCAACTTCATTTAATTAGTGAAACACTAAAACCTTCCTGTATTTGATTAATTAAATGAAGTTGACAAGTGCAATTCAGTCCATAAAGATTTTTAATTATTAATATAAATTCCTTCCCTTGGTAATGAACTAAGGGCTGAAACATTGATGTAAAAAAACAATAAAGTAGGACTATGATGATCAAATAAGTGATTTTGTTATTACTATTAAGGTGAATGCCAACCTACAAATTTAAATACATATATTTAATTCATAGCTTATTTAAAAAAAAAATTCTCTTGGCATTAGGGACATTTAAGTACTCTCTTATTTTTCGCTCTTCATTAGAACCAGTGATACAAAATAAAATATATTTTTAACATGCAAATTTCCCATTTTTTTAAAAGATTATAATTTCAATTTCAGCAATTTCAATTCATGTTATTCAAATCATGTGGGTTTGAAGAAAATTTTGGGAGAAACTGCCAATTGGGAAGTACATTAAGAAGTTCCATGTTGCTATGATTTGCAATAAATTCCCTTCTGTATCCATTTAATTTTCAAAATATTCAAAACTGTTATGTCCAGGGGATTGACCTAAAATCTTCGTAACAAACACTCTTGCGAGCTTAATTTTTAACAAAATGACTGCACTATAAAAGTTCCTGGAAAACATGATTTGACATAGTGGTGAAGATTCCAAGGACTAATTAAACCTATGATTCAATCTCACTAGCTGTTCTATTGATTCAAGTATGTACCAATGGGAGATTTCAGAGGACTAGGATTATGACCATTTAAATAAAAAAATTTATATAAAAACATTAACAGAAAACCTCGTTTAGTAGGTGATTTGATACCTCTCCTCCATACAATTTAGATTTTAGGGATAGTAATTATGCATTTTGGAAAAATGATCTACAACTTCTTAAGAGAATTAAACAAAATTCATGGAATACTTTTTAATGAAATTTGATTGCCCAAATCACTCAAACTTCATAGGAAAAATTTATTGGCTTTTCTGAAAATACCAATGCATTTGTCATAAGAACCAATAATTGGCCTTTGGAGAGATTATGATTTCACAACTTCGAATTGTAAATACATTTTTTTTTTCTAAAATACAGGAAAATAACTAACTAGTTAAAATTTAATGAATTCAGGCATTATTAGGATGAAAAAAAAATATCTCATATTAAAATTAGAATTAATCAATCAGTTATCGTATATATTTAGTTCAACTCCAGTTGATGTTTTTTCAATATTAAGTATCTTTTTTAAACTGTTGATGTGAGATGTCTTGTATTTTGTTTGCATATTCGGATGTTGTTTTCCCTATCCTGATGGTGTCTGAATTGGTTAAACATTAATTTATCAGCTGTTTACTGGTATTAAGGACTCAAGGATTTCAGGAATCTTCCAATTATATTTTAATAGTTAATTATATTTTATTTATTGTTTTTTATAGTTTTTGCTTTTTTATATTAACTTTAGAAAGATGTTTCATAATAAATACTTTCATCGGAATGAAGTTTCGTTTATGCTCATGTAAATAGTAATTAAAATCTATAGTCATTTTTCCAAATATTATTTATCATGTCCTCTCTCTCCCAACTCCGAAAATGAATTTTTAAAATTTTTGGGAAAATAAGTAGATTGATTATTTTCTAGACACTTTACTTTGTTTTTTGAATATTTTTAAGTGTGTTTAAAAACAATATTTTTTCAACCTGAAAAATGGCCGATCAAGAAATGTTTTAGCAAAGTTAGTAAGTCTCTGTTTTTATTTCTTCGTTATTATATGTATATGTGTTTTAGATTTTCATATGTAGATTATTTAACATTCAATTAAGGTAAGTGACAAAAAAAAAAGCTATTTGAGGAATAGTATTTTATAAGTACATTCTATTTACACTGTTGACATCCACCTGCACTCGCACTATTTGCTGTACTTGGACAGGCAGCACTATTATCTAGCTAATGTAGAAAAGGTTTTTTTTTTTTTGGCACAGAAGTAAAAAAAATTAACATGAAAAAGTGTACACAAGTATAGCACAGTGGATATTTCATCCTCCTGCCCCCCATAGAGATATGGGAAATGTTCTACTATCTCTTACAAAGATCTGGTGTGATCTAATTTCCGCTACTTAGAGTAAATTTAGTAGATAATATAGTATTTTTTGAGACTTGATAAAGTCCTTCGACTTTTTTTTTCATAAAAAGAAATAACCTCTATCATTAAAAGTGTTCTTCAATATCGAAAAATATTTTTTTTCTGAAAAGTAAACTAATACATTTACTTATTTTATTGTTTACTTTCAGTATGAAAAACCAAAATTCTTTGTTCTTTGATAATTATGGGTGAGAATAAGTAAATTCCCCATGAAATATCCCACATCTTGCTAAAACCAAAACTCATTCAGAACATTGATGCTAAACTTGACATATTTTTTTTTGTTAATTTGTACATACTAGTAATGAATAAGGAACCAAGTCCCAGAATAAATTTTGTTTTCTATATTAATAACTTAAAAATTGATGTTCTCAAATTTCATATTTTTTTTGGCCTCTTATCAACTATTTGAAATGTTTATATTGAAATTTTCTGACATATTAAGTAGTCCACAGTCCATTTCCAATGACATATTACTAACAGTACCATTTGTTTGAGGATACTTTGTCTTTTTTCTCACCCAACTATTCCATGTCGAAGGGAACTGTTTATTCATCTTGTTCTGTCTGATTTAAATCATAATCAGACTAAAATTATATAATTATGGCTCATGAAATGTTAGGTTCTGGTGTGTTGAATTGAAGTGGTGTGACAAAATTGAAGGTTTTTGTGTGTTCAGCACGATAATCATCTGTAAGTTACCATTATTCCAGACACAGAGTATTTTCTTTACTTCTCTAAACTTTTATAAAGATTAATTGAAAAAAATGTACAGGTTCAGTTCAAGAAACATGTACAGGGAATGTATTTTGATTTGTTAATTAACTTAAATTATGTACATTCATATTTTAACAATATCCCAATAAATTATCCTTTAATATCTGATACAATCATTTCTATATAACAATTATGATTGATATTTGCCAATCCTAAATATTAGTTAAAAGCCATTGCCTCAGGATAATATGTTACTGTGAAAAGAGTTAATAACAATATGTTTAGAAATTGTAAATTTTAGTTAATCATTTGGCATTTACTTTAAAAAAAGGAACATTATAAGTCATCTTTATTTACTTCAGAGGTCTCCAAACTTTTTGGAGAAAAGTAACAGTAAGCTACATGGTTTGTAATGAAAAAATATAACCTTGTTCAATAAATGTCACTTCAGTTGTTAAATGAGCTTTCAAAGAGAAAAAAAAAAATGCAATATATGTTGTAGTGACCTCGTGTGTGAGTAATTTGCTAAATGTCATATTTTTTAAAATGTTACCATGAATCATAGAAAGTTTCGCGGGCAGTAGTTTGGAGACCCCTGCTATAATAAGAATGAAAACCAACTCAATATATCCAAATAGGTTAATGTATAAATTAGTTTCAATTCTGAATATCTTATACAATTATTGCATAAATTTTAGTAGTACATCAAAGTCAGTAGTATTAATTGATTCAGTTTGGATTATTAATAGTTTACATAATGAAAAGATTGTTTTCAGATTCGTGGAAACAAAAATGGCCGCTCGAGGATCATAAGAACTGAAGCTGTCCATGGAAGGAGAAATACCCAAGAATCTCTTAGTGGCCTGCCTGGTCGAAAGCTCTCTGAGAAGAAGAAGAAGAAGAAAAAGAAAAAGTTAAGAGATGAGGGTGGTTGTTCCTCTGGGAAAAGAAGGATTGAAAAAAAGTGCTGCTCTATTGAATCATCTAGGAGGCTATCGATGGAGCATCGTAGAAAGAAACTAAAAGCCAAGTGAAGCTAGTATGCCATTTATTTACTACTGTGATTAATAATCTGAGTTATTCTCAGAACAATTTTTTCATAGCTTGGAGAGCTATAATTTTTACACTCACTAGAATTTATTGCACAAATATTGTAGAAAGGATTTGTATTTATGTAAGCATATTTAATTTCGTTCAAGATATTAGATCCTATGTAGTGATTCTATATTATTAATAAATTTAATTTTATGGGTGATACATATTCAGTGCTTGAAACATGATGATGACCCACATGTTTGGGTTGAAACGTCGGCACTAATAAAAACTTTATAATGACTGCATCCTGAATATTTATCATCCATGATATGTAGAACAGTCAACTAAACTTCCTTCAAAAATTTAATTTTAATTGTAAATTTTGCATGTTATGTTTAAATTAGTCGATAAATCTCCGATTCTTAGAATATATATGTTATATAATTTATTAAAGTCTAGAATATCTTTTAGATGGAGTGAATTGAATATGTCATTTATTAAAAACCATGTTATAACTCAGAAAACATATTTTTCAGGTATTTCAGTTGGCATTCTATAATTCTTTTCTCTCATAATAAAACTGAATAAGTCAAGTATTTTAAATAAACTTTTTCGATCCCATCAATTGTCATAAGGCATACATAGTACACTAAAATATTATTCAAAATCATGTGAATATGACTGAAGCAATAATATTGATACAAATTTAACTGATTCACTTCTTGTTTATTCTGACTCGAGATTTCTTTAGTATATCGTTGGTCTCAGTGTAAAACCATTTCTGTAAGAAATATTTTTAATTTGTTTTTTTATAACTTTTATATACAGCAATTGATTGTTAATTTTGTCTACTCAATAGAATATCATTCATTAAAATTTTTATTTAAAAGAAAAGGTATCTCAATATAATGGTAATTTAATTTAAGTTTTTTTATATGGTGTCACATTTAGACCAATCATATATTTTGAAATGTATCAATGGTTGAATACATTATTCATTCAAATAAAGTTAAATCATTTTATGGCAATCATTATTTTTATCTGTGATTACTTTATTAATAGATTCCATTCCCAATTTTCTGAATATTTCATCTATCTAACATAATTATATTTTAGTTTTGATTAATACATTGAATTTAATAAGTGATGTATCTTCAATTTTTCACAGTAACTAGCGAACAATATTTTACATATATAGTTTTGGTAAGAGTAATTCTAAATAGCTCCTTTAATGTATGTTTACTAGTCTCATTGCCAGATGTGCTTTCAAATTTAATAAGCATTTTAGTTTTTAGATTCATAAATGAACTGTTAGGAGTTATATCATCCTTTGATGTATGTTCACAATAGATTTTTTTTCTTAATTTAAATAATTTTGTAACTTTTATAATTATTGTGATGGTTATATTTATATTTTAACATTAATAATGCTTAAAGCAAGCATTTTACAGAATAAAATGTTGATGTTTCTGTCTGAAGCACAAATGTATTTGTTTCAGTTGGAATTCACTTGAAGTTTTATGTGCAATTTTAATAACTGGCTGTTGCTGTTTAAATATACTTATTTTTATGTTATAATAAATTTTAATATTTATTATTTATTAGTAATAAAAAAGTTATTTTAATTTTAATTATTCAAGAAAGTTGTTTTCTTGAAAACCTGACAAATTTATTTATTTTATTCTCCAAATAAAAAAACGCTAAGGAAAAACAAAAAAAAATTTCAGATTATTAAAAGTCCTATATAAGGCCTCTTAAAAGTACTCAACTCCTCTACAGTACCCCCAACAGGGTTGGGCTCATTTTAATAGTTCTTTATTCACTGTTCCTTTATCGATTATTCAATCAATATAAACTCATGGAATTACTCATCAGTTTATGAAAATATTATTCAATATCATTTACTAATTAGAGCAAAGGCACCTTTAGCTGACATTGTATCAATACGTGACATCCTCCTTGAAAAATGGGAATAATAAGATTTCCGGTCTTTCCAGGCCTCATTTTATAAAATTTCATAAATTTTTGATTTCAACATTTTCTCTGTGTATATTTGTCTGCTTTGCTTCAGTCATGCCGGAAACCATAACTGAAATAATGAGTGCCTAATTAGGAAGGTCCTTCATTGTCCACTAAGTGTCCTAGGAACAACCATCTATCAGTAAGGGCACCATGCCTGATGTTTGGATTTTTTTCTTTAACTATCCAAAAATTTATGTTTTATTTTTCTTCAAGTGTTTCAAGATTACGTTTAATCTTTTTTTAACTTATCTGAATGAAGGAATTGGAAATATAAAGAGTGTCATCTACTTGCGACTCATAATGGTACCTTTCGCCCATAGGTGACAGGACTGTACTCTCTTAAATTCAAAGAGATATACTTAATATAAAAGGTCTTAAAAATCAGACAATTCATTACACTCTCATTAAAAAAATATATATTATAATAATAATGCTCAGTGATTTAGATTAAACATGAAGCAAAAATAAGTTTTCTTATTGCCAAAAACAGGTCCTTAACAGGTGACCAGCACTTATCAATAAATTTAAGTTGAGAAACGAATTTAAGTTGTTTTGTAAAAAGTTAAAGATGATTTTTTCAAATGAAGAATATAAAATTTATTTCACATAATTACATCCTTGTTCTCATCCCTATTATCTATAAGAAGATTCCAAATAAAACTGTGTCAGCTACTGGTGCAGCAAAACTATTCTCTAAATTTATTTTTTAAAATATTGAAAAATGGATGTTTCACAGATTTGAAAGGCGAGTAGTTCTATAAAGTGAATACAATAATATTTTTATTTAAGTTTTTAAACATAAGAGTTCAAAAAATTTTCCTTAAGCATGTCAGCTACTGCAGCATTTATCCTATTTATGTATCCAGTCTTAAGTCAAACTTTTAAATATTCCAATTTTCTTGTTTTATAATATATTGGATTTAACATGTCAATTTTACTTCTTGATATTTTTCTTATAAGTAAAAATTTATTTGTAAAGTGAAAAATGTCAATGAAGATATTTATTGCTAATAAAAATTAATATTTTTTTTTTCTATGCTTTGCCTTTTTTACTTTCACTTACCTATATATAGTAAGGGTAATATATATACCTATATATATATAGTAAGGATAAGTATTGCGATCGTAAACATTTTTGAATCTGAGTTTTCAACGGAAATACACGTTTTGGTACGGAAGTGAAATTGCATATTTAAGGTTTTTATATGCTACGGATGTTACAGCAACTTTTTCATCAAAATCGGCTAACTGGAAGTGGCACTTTATGTAATGCACTAAACACATTTTTACGATGATCTCGAAAACCGCTCTAACAATTTTGATTAAATTCATCAAATCAATGTAAAATTAAGCAGTTTTAAATAAAATGTGGTTATTATTCTGATTGATGTTCTCTAACAGGGTTTAAATAGCTAATTTCCAATATTAGCTTCCTCTATAGTAGCTTTAATTTTTTTTATTTGAAACAATTGACCATTTCACATTAATTTCTCTTATGAGAAATGGTTAAATATAAAATATGAAAGAATTTGATAAATAACTAAAGGAGAAATAAGAGATCGTAACGGAAAGTAGTTGTAATTGGGGAACCCAAGGAATACGAGCGCACTGAAGCTTGTCCAAAAGATTAGAACATGCTTCCATACGTATCATGAGGTTAATATAATGCGGACTCTGACAATATTATATAAATATACATATGTTAAATGCTATTGTTTATATGCTATTAGAATTTGTATATATGAGGGTACTTATACAAATAAAAATACCCACAATGAAATATAAATAAATATAGAGTCTATAATTTTTACTTTCACTTCGCTTTGTCTGAAAATACTTATTTCTGCTAAGAAGAAGATGGTATGCACAGGCAGATCTACAGGGAGGTGGGGAGACTTTCAGGCTGAAGCCCCCCAAAAATGGTAGAATGTAACCATGTTTTATAGAAAAACATATTAACAAATTATTTAAAGTTGAGAAATATTGTGAATAAAAAATTATGTTTTAATGTATTATTGTTCATTTAATTACATTTAATATGACTTCAAGATTACTAAAACACGATTTCATATAGGTAGTTAGTATTTTTCTTTTTTTTTTCTAATTATCATTACATAAAAAAAAAAAAGCTTTTGGCCCCCCAAATTAAATCCTAGATCCGCTATTGGTGGTAAGTGAAAGTTGTGACACCAAATTTTTATTATTTGTTTTGCATTTTAATAAAATTATTTTAACTAATGTTTTTAGATTACAAATGTTTTAGCCCTTTTATTCCAAGCACATCTCTTGTTTAACTATTAATTATTTTTAGTATTATAGTACTAATGAAAATTAGATTAATACATAAATTGATGATACAATTAAATAAGGCAGGTATTAACAGATAACATAATCACACTAAAAAAAAATCATGTTTTTCACTACTGGCTCATAATTGTGTGATTGTTTATTCATATACCTCTCATTTGCTGCAATGAAGTCCTAACTTGAAAATCATGACTTTTGTGTTAATAAAAAAGAAATAATTGCAATGATGAGAATTATTAAATAGCCAAGTGTTATTTTTAAGACCAAATGTGCCACCTTTATATTTTTAAGATATCTAACATTTATTTAAAATTTAAAACTTCAATTTCATCTTTTGAAGAATCTTGAATTTTTCAAAATTCATGTTTTGAATCGTAGCTATGTGATAAGTGTCACATAGAACATACATCATTAAATAACGTAGAAAATTAAATAACTAAGTACTTTGATGAATTTTTCCTCTGCAAAATCAAAACATGCACATATTGTACTTGCTTTTTAAATAGAGTAAGATTTGTGTTATTTTGAAGCAACAAAATCATTTTTGTTTTTCCTTAGTTCATTATTTTTGATATGAAAGAAGTAATTATTTTGATTCAAAAATAATTATACAATTGTTCAATAGTCAGAAATGTTAAGCTTTACATACATTTTCTGTAAATAAGTAGGTAAAGGGAAATATAAAACAATAAGTTTTTAAAATCTTGTGTATTGCACACATAGAATTGCAGAGGAACACAACAGTTATATAAGCATTATTTAGTTATCTTTCACAATGATACCAACTGAGGTAAGAAGGTTGGTTTACACTAGTATCTATTGTCCTATAGGTTGAATGGGAAGGTCAAGATTTATGAGCTAAGAAATAAAAGTATTTGAACAAATGTTTAAGTTTGTCTTGATTGTGTTTTACATTATTTCTTTTGTAACATCTTTAAAACTATAATGCTTATTTATTTGACATGCATGTTGAGGTCATTTGTTAGATAGATTTATGATTTTGGAGCGAGTTAAAAAAATCAGCTCATAATGAGCTTTTATATCAAATATAGGAATCTGTGATGGTTAATAATAATCATCACAAATTTATGTTTTACATTTGGATATTGACCATACATTATATCAGTTAAGAAAATTAAAATAAAAAAAAATATATGGGATAAAAGATCAATACTCTTATTTTGCCCAATTAGATTAATCAAAATGTTTTATCTTATCTGAAGAATACAATTATATCTCCTACTATTCTCAAATAACTAATAATTCAAACTGATCATGTGTTCATGTCTTGTCAAACTCAAACTTCTAAATAATTGTTATTACACAAAATATAGTTATATATAGTTCCTCATGTGGTATAGTAACATAGCTTGGCTATGTTTCCAGGCTTAATGTTTGGGTACCTCACTCTCTAACCTTGGCAACACCCATTTCTGTTTGTGATTCACTACGGAAATGGTAACAAAAGGACCCATTTTTGAAAAAGTTGCTAACAGGAGATGAAAAATGGATATTTGACGATAATTTAGTCTGTAGGAAATCTTGGGGACCTAGTAGTGAGGTTCCTAGAAGAATTTCAAAACCCATATTGCATCCAAAGATCATACTTTCCATATGGTGGGATTTCAAGGGTGTTATTGCCATCAGGACAAATAATTGATTCAACTTTATACTACTCACAATTAACAAAATTGGATAAATCAATTAAAAATAAACGTCCAGAATTAGCGAATCAGAAGTGTGTTGTGTTCCACCAAGACAACACTAGGCTCCTCACCTCATTGGTCAATCGCAATAAGTTATTTAGCCTTGGAAGGGACATTTTGCTCCACCCTCCCTATTAACCAGACCTAGCTCTAAGTGACTACCACTTTATTCTACTATTTGCAGAACTCCATGAATGGGAAGAAATTCCAAAAGGAAGAGGACATAAAAAACCACTTGGATCAATTTTTTAACAATAAATTCTAGGTATTCTATGAACATGACATTTTGCAGTTAGTGGAAAGATGGGAAAAAAATATTAAATAATGGTCAATATATTGTAAATTAAAATAAATTTTATGTCTATCATACATTGAGTTTCATTTCACCCTGAAAAACCAAAAGGACTTATTTGCTAACCCAATAGTTCTTTAAAATGGATCTTGGTCAAAATCATGATAAACAACCTCCTAAAATCATATCATATTATTTTGTGATTCCAATTATCGAATAACATCACATGGGTGTCAATTCCAAAATATTTAGTGATGTTGAAAAAATCTAGTTATATTTTATTACTTTTTCATTCCTTATCAAAAAACTAAA